AACTTGGTTCCACTTTCCACAATTGTCTTTTATCTAGCACCCGAGGAATTACAAAGAGGATTCGCAAAAAAGGCTGTAAATCTAAATTGTTTGGCAACATTCAAAAGTGTGCCAGGTTTCAGTTGTATACTGGTTCTTTCTCTAATGTATTTAAAATGAACTTAGGCTCTACCTCCTCCTTTCAGACCTCGCCCCCCAGGGCCCACTTGGCTGCTAACCACTTAAAAAAATATGGAAGGATAATTACGGCAGCAAAAGACTAAACAAGGACTCACTGTAAAACACATTAGTGAAGCCAAAATAATTTGACAGTTATTTGAAAGCAACATTTTTACCAAAGGAGGAAATATAGCAAACCAACCAGAGTGCGGTATTTCGATTATTACACTTCTTTTAGTTTGGATATAACTTGCGGTCATGTTTTACAGCTCTGAGTTAGTATATGAGAAGATTGTGAATGCACTACCAGAAAGAGTCGGCCATCTAATATCTTAGTGACATAAAGTTATAGGACCATTTACCTCCGAGTGGCTCTGAGAAAGCCATGTGAGGCCAGATGAAATGGTTCAATTTCAATTTAACGTTGGAAAACAGATCAATTGATCCAGACCTTCGGTGCAATGACCCAGCATGTTAATGCTTCAATGCATTCAAGGCCATCCCCTGTCTCTGGATGAAATCAAAGAGGGAATCAATGTGTGTTTGTTCCAGCTGTAAATATATCATAACATTATTTTTCTGCGCCCCGTAGCTCGTAAAGAGGATTATTGACGCTGTAATCTTCTAAATGGATAGCACATGCTTTCTGGCCTCTGCTGTCCCTGACATGTCCAACACACGCACAACCAATTATATTTTCAAATATAGCCCTTTCCGACAGAATAAGAGTTCATGTTAAATGTGCCAGATCTGACATTAAAGGCATCCATTAAAACATTGACATTTCACTGAATGTGATCCAACACTTCACGGGCAGGATGTGGAATGTCAGTGCACTCTGAAAGTCTGAACACGTCCCAGACATCTGATTTAAGATCAGTCATGACTTTGACACTGGTCAAAGAGAAATGCCACTTCCTGTCATGTGACCATAGCAAAAAAGCATTCATATTGAGTGAAGAAAACTCCAACAAAGGCAGAAGACATTTCCTAGAAACAAAAAGCTCCTTGTATGTGAGGAATAATGCTCGGTAAGTAACTAAAGGTTGGTCTTTGATTGACTTGTCTTATGACGTACTGTAACAAATGTCATTGACAGAAAAGGAATGACATAGTGGGCCAGTAAAAATACCAAATAAAAGTGTTTGATGCGTGATTACTCAACCAGATGTAACCATTGTGGACATATAATGTTCCCGGGATTTAAAAGGATCAATAATTTCACCACATAAGCTCACTAACTCTTAAGTCTGAGAGCAGATGTTGCTGAAATGCTGTAACCATTTTCACAACGGCTTTGCAGACTGATGCCAGAGGCTTTCAGTCACACGTGTTCATTCACTCCCATACTGTTCACCAAATGGGAAAGTCATTCACTTCACATTTTAAGAGGCTGGCATGATGTAAGGACTTTGAAGAGGCCATTTTTATTTCAATACGTTTTTTGCTTTATGACTTGGCGAACCAAATAACACATGTATACTAGACTTAATTGGGATCATTCTTCTTCTTTTGCGACATATAAACTTGTTATGCATTTGTTAAAAGGTTGGTACATTTGGTGCTTTAATTCTCTGTGGGTTAATATCTGTATTAGAACAGCTGAACCTAATTATATACATTATAAATGTTTATACAAGTGTTTCTTGTGAATGGGGTGTAAATGGAGGATAAGCTGGAAATATTATGTTGAATATTTTTAAATACTTTTACTGTATTTCATCACAGTAGAGTTGAGCCAATAGGCTACAACATATCTGCATTAGGATCTTTGGACCATTAGCATCAACTGGTTATAATTGAAATTGTCCCAAGGAGACAAACTTAAATGTGTAGTTATAACGTCCAAATAAAAAATAAATGGATTTAAACATACATCTCACTCGCATGCATCTTACCAACAACAAATAGAAACATCCAACAGTTCACCGATTGCCCCCCCTAGCCTTTTGTGTGTGGGAGAGAAACTCCCTCTGGTGTGAACTTTTGAATTTTAGCCTTTGCAGACCATTTACATGCAGTAACGCCTCCTAACACACTACATGAAAAGGATAACTCCAAAAGCAAAGAGGGCCTCTTTAATTCCTATTTGTATCTCTTTCCAGACTTCATTATCACACAGGCCATGTGGTGTTGTGCATTCCTTGGGGCCGATGTTCTCTGCAATCCTTTACGAAACCAATAATTTGTGACTCGTTTTTCCTAATTTCCAAACCAGCAGGTAGCACCGCAACAAATGACAGACTTTCAAAACCTTACATGGGACACTTCACGGATTCTGACTAACATCGGTAAGTGCAAAGCAGGGAGAGAAGGAGCAACAGTGCGACGGAGAGAGCTGAGCATCCAGTGTAATGTCAGACGAGCAGTGCCATCTCAATGTAATGCTCCAGGGACAGCTTTACTCAAGAGATCCAGGGCTATGTAATCAGACCCCCAGCCTGTGATTAATGTTGCTCATCTGTCTTCAGGCCCGTACAGCTCAGTACAACTTAGCACAGCTCACCCAAGATGCTGTTTACTGCACACCCTTTTCGCCTGCAGCCATGGAAATAAGTTGAATTCATTTCACCTAGAGAGCCAGGAGATGTGGAAGAAGCTAAAATCCGACAAACTGTGAGAAACAGACACAAAAACAAACCGCATGATTCCTGACTGCCTGTACTTAATGCCTAAGCTTTGTGCTGTGTGTCTTTTATTGGTGGCCAGGAGCATGTTTTGTTCCATTTCTGCAGCTCACCTTTTAAATGACTTGTTTTTGGAAAGCAAAAACACGTCCACAATCCAACTTTAGTTTAACTGCCCCTCAAGTGAAGCCAGGCTGAGCAAGGGATGGATTTATGGAGCGTGCCAAGCATCTTCCAGTGCTAACATCATCAAAAGTACCTCCCTAACTGTCGGCAAACTGTATTAATGAGCTATTAGGTGTTTGAGGGTAAACAATTTACAGTGTTGGCTTATTTACCGCATGCTCAGGGAAAAGTGCATCTGGGTTTGGAAGCCTCCTCTCGCTAGGGAGCCCATCCATCTGCTGCCACCACCACACTATTTATTCTACCACTTGGACAGATTTACACAAACCTTTTGTCGTTAGCCTGACATGTCTATTTATTATAGGAAGCGCTCTTAAAACAAGATCACTGCCCCATGTGTTGTTGTCCCCCTCCCTCTTCTCTCACTGCGTCTAATTTACAAACTCTTTAAGTGAATTTTAAATCTGCACAAGCTGGGAGCATTCTTAAGGTACGTGCCTAAAAAAAACAACCTTGAGCAGTAAATGAATCGATACCAACAATTCTATTACGAGTACATACATTCAGTCGATGTGCAAAGTCAATAGTGCACTCTACATGCTCTGAGCATCTAACAGCAGGGTCGACAACTGTAATGCTCAGTTTGGGGGGATGGTGGACAGCCCTGAGAAAACTATGAGTAAAGATCGACAACCATCCCTGTCTTGTGAAGATATTTTGAATAGAGTAGCATTATATTTTAAGTACAGACAAAATCATCGATTGTTTTACATGCATACAAAGTCATGATTTCCATTAAGCCCCTGTCACACAGTCCCGAAATGTACACCCGATGGACACACGAATATGAATTGTGAATTTCGCACGAAGATGGCCCAGAACCACACACGAAGGCAACATTTATATTACATTTAAGACATACAACTGCAACAAAAATAACAAAAACAATTATGTTAAAGTACTATGATACTGTACTGATATTTTCAGACTTTGTTCTTTACTTTATCCGTCTTTATATGTAGAAATTACGTTTTCTCCGTAATGTTGTTTCCATAGCAACAACAACTTCCTGTCAACTCGCCTTCAAAATAATATATTATATCCTTTTCAGTTTCACAGAACACAAATTGGGTTATTTACATAATATGTTTACATGATTTTGTTATGTAATAAAAAACCTGATGGACACACGATAAAGGAAATGTTCAAATTCGGCTCTGATCGTAGCAACATCGGGCCACTCGTTGGTGGAGTTTCTCAGGCTCCGTCAGCAACTTCGTGAGCGGTGGCAAAAATCTTTGGCATGCCAAAAAATTGCCGAAGGACCTTGCGAAGGTTCATTTTTGTGTTGAATTCGTGTGTCAATTTTGCCCTTCGTAAAGGCCATTGTGAGAGCATCTTGTTATCATCGGTGCAATCGGGCATTCGCCCCGATCAGAGTGAGGGTGAATGCACCGATGATAACACGGAGATGACACGACTTGACAAGATGCCCTCACGAGTGCCTTACGAAGTTGCTGCCGGAGCCTGAGAAACTCCACCGGCGGTCATACGATGGCTTAAGATGCCCTCACGAATGGCCCGATGTTGCTACGATCAGAGCCGGATTTGAACATTTCCTTTATCGTGTGTCCATCGGGTGTCAATTTCGGGACAGTGTGACAGGGGCTTTATGGAAGTGATATACAATGATAATAGATCAAACGATGTAAGAGCTTTTAAATGGGCTATTGCAAAACAAGGAAATATTTGCAAATTAACAGATTCATCAGTGTTATTATTAAATGAGTTGTGTTCTGACCACATATTCATTCTCCTTTTAGCTCGGTTTGGTATCCACCATCTCTTTAGGAAAATATCTGCCTCTTGGGCTGCTAATTGTGTGCTAAAAATATATATATTTGAACCATCAGACTAATCCAAAACATGTTTCAGGCCATAGGAGGCAGTTAAAAGAAATATATTTAATGTGACATATAGTTATTCAATCCATTGGTTAAAAACATATAGATAATGGTTTTCATTAGTTATTATTTTAACCTCTTGTCTGGTTAGCAACAGTGACTGCACATATAATGAGTGTATACGTTACTGTGATCTCTTACCAAAGTCTTTGTGGGATGACATCCAGCCAATCGCCTTGAGGGAGACAATAGCCAACAAACCAGAGCCCACGAAGGAGCCAATCCCAGAGAAGAAAAAGAAAAGTCCCATGATGGCACTCTGCATGGACTTGGGGGCTGCAAAATAGGCAAACTCCAGACCTTCAACAAAAACAGTAACATTAGGTATTTGTTAGATTGTTGGGTATAACATTGTAGAAATGTACATCCAATAAAAGTGTAATGTAACCTGTAATATCATGCTATTTAGTCAAACACTCCCAAAAATATACTGTCCAGTTCATGCCTCTGACAGTGGAGCTAGCAAGGCACCACTACAAATTTGGGTAGAATTCGATTTCTATTTAAATTGTTTGTTGACAATCACTGGTTTCCTTTTAGAATTTTGTAAGTGAGACCAAAAAGATTTCTCGAAAGCTGCTTGGCATCTCAATTATAATGGTGGCACTGGTCTGTGTTGGCCTTGTTTGGAACTACTCTGCTTACTGATCTCACAAAGCAGTGATTTCTGGAAAACACATCACTCAGTATTTACTTAGTCATGAAAGAAAGGAAAGCACTAAGAAAATGGGCAGGGGACCTAAGGAAACATATGATGGGCTAAAAACATCAAATAAGTGTCTCTTTTGCCTAGAGATCTTTCTGCCTGCAAGCTGACATTGATAATTTCATGGCACCTCAAACATGTGATTTTTTAAATGAGGCCCGATAGCTACATCTGTCTGGAGAGATTAGGAAACTGCTGTTAAATACATTTGCCTTTCAAGATCTTCCTTGGAACATTGCACGAATTAATGTGATGAGCAGTTACCTTACTTATACCTGTGGTAGTTTTGCAAAGAAAAAACGTCAGAAGAAAAGGGAGTGAGATAAGGGAATGGCAAATATGAGGTTTTGACTCAGTGGAAAGCATAATCCCCTTTCCAAAAGTTCACAGAGATACATTTGTTTATATCCTTAGCTAACCTTTTGATAGCAAAGGAACACTCGTCAATAGCCATAGTCACAGGAGGCTAACAAAGGTTGGTGAGGTATCTCAGATACCACTCCTCACAGTAAAGGGAAAATACAGACTATCATTCTAACATCAATAACTATAAATATTCAAGAAACAACCACAGTGAGCTTGACCTTTCTTTGAAGGGAAAAAAGGGGAAATAAAAAATGAATGCAAATGTTTATATTCTTTTTTCCAATAACCAACAAGGGCACTATTATTATATGTACGGTAGTATTGATTTTTTTCTTATAAATTAACATTTACCTTTAATATCTTTCACACATGCAAAACCGAGTTTAAATACTAAGTATCATTAAAAAAAAGATTCTATATTCTCTTATCCTGAAACCAGACACACTTGGGTGGTGTACAAGCAAAACAAGGATTGCAGCAAAGTCTGGTGTCACCAGAGGTTTTAAACAGATTTATTCAAACAAAAGGAGACTAGAGGGAATATTCCTCTAAACCAGACATATGTCACAATTCTTTCCGCCAATATTCGTACAAGTAAGCCCTGTGGGATGGTATACAGGGAGAGGAGAAAGTACGTTTATTTTAAGGCTCCCTTTAGCTTTGTTATGTCTGGATTTGACTTTTTAGGGACCCGGATAGTTGTGCAAAAATCTAGTTCTGTTCAAGGACCTTATAATACCCGAACTAATCAGTATCTATGGATCTTAAACTTGTGGATATCAAATGTAGGCGTTCAGTCGCAGAAACACCCTGCACCTTGATAATACCTCCAATAATAAGTCTTAAATATGAATAGTTCAATCAGCACTACTTATATAGAGTAAAGCGAGTGCTATAGAAAAAACAACAACAGCAGGACCAATAGTACGAGGAGGATTACTCAATCATAGCTCGAGGCTTTAAAAAACTCAAATCACTAGATAACTGAGGCCTGAAGCAACGATCATGACTCGAGAAAAAAATACATGAAGGGAGAAAAGAAAAAAATATAGTCACACCAAAGATAAACACAATAAAGGGAACATTTCAGTTTTTTTATATTACACTCAGATATTTCTCAAAGACAACCTCTTTTAGTAAAAGGACAATACGGTTGCTTTTCTTTCCATTCTTTTTTTTTTGCAGTCCCTATTTGATATAGCATTAAAGCAATTTCTCACTTGGTCACATTATTGTATTACTGGTACAATGTGGCCTTACTTTTCAAAGCTTTTAATGAAATGACATTTCCTGTTTAGGTCAGGACTCACACAAAAAAGAAGAGCAAGATAAAGGGAGCCTGCTTGCTAAGCAGTGTTCGCCTGGTAACCCTGAAAGTCTCAAAAAGAAGACTGCAGCTGTCAGTTCCGGCATGAACTATTCTGACCTGCTCTGATTCAATGCTTTTCTTTTTAATCATTTTCCGGAGAAGAACAGGGAATTTATTTCTCCAGGAAAAGCAAACACTGCTACATTTCCAGTGAAGGATTATGCGTAGCCTCAAATTGATGAGCCTGTGTCTTTGAATTATATTTACTGGGATGAATCGTCTGAGCAGCGACAGCTACACAACTTTAAATTCCAAATCAGACCTGCTGGTGTGAAAAGTTGGCCCAAGTGCTAAAAAAAGTTTGGGAATTTTGACTTTTTATAATAAATTCTCCTATGATAGTCTATCTGCTGCAGTACATAGACTATCAAAGGTATCACAAATATATCAAACATACAAAAATACTGTATCTTCTAAGGTTAAGAAAATGTGAATAGAAAGAAGGGTTATACAAAACCTAAGACTCCACGTGGCGTCTAGACCATAGACTGTATATATAAAGCTCTAGACATAGTTTTGATTTTTGGTTCCAAGGTTCTTAGATACCTGCCTTTGAAATTGTTGCTGCTACGACAAATATACCAAAAGACAGATGAATCAAAATGTGTTTGAGATTTAATCTACAGTAAAATATGTTAACCTGCAGATTTGTTATATAACTTTTAGACAATGGAAGCAATATCTGCTTGTATTGGGCCTTTGTAGGCAACCTTGTAAATCAATGAGCTGAAGCTCTGTAATGTACCGTTAGCTTTAGAGTAAGTCAGGGACTACAGTTTAGTATAATGCCTCAAAGGGGGAGTAGCATCATTATAATAAAATACTTTGCCTATTTGGACTACATACAAGTGTAACTGTCAGCACCCTGCTGGACTGATAATTAAACATGTCATTGTTTTCTGTGTATTCAGTGTAATATATATTTCTATGAACACTGTCAGCTGGGGAAGCGTGCTAATTGGATAATTAAGAGTTGAACTTTTAATTAAGTGTTTGCCACGACAATTTGTCAGTGTTATCTCTCTCGAGCGTGATTTAGTGTGGGAGATATTGTTTCATTATGCTGGTGTATATTTAAGTTCATAGTGATACATTTCAACTCAGCAGCGGCCTGAACATGAAGGTGAAATGTTGTGAGTGTTGTGAAGCTAATTGTGTTACCACTGTGACTTTACCCTCAGTCCAGAACAGATTTTCTTACAGGTACAATAAAGTATATTGCAAGCAAGTAGCATTATTTTCCAGATTCTACATTTGTTGTTGTTGTTGTGAACATATAGTTACTCCTTTGATAATAAGCTTTCATGTTCATGTTATTTCAGTCTAGGCATATGATGTGTGTACATATGTAGATGATAGAGTATTTTGTGTTTTTTTATAAATGCACAGCCAAGATGATGAGGCTTCAGCGGGATGAAACTATTTTGACATAATTGTGATAGTTTTGGAAATATATCCGGACGTAGTTGTGGGGCTTGCAGATATGCAGAGCATGGAAGACTGAACTATTTGCCTTGGCGGAGATCTGTGCTCTCCGAGTGCCCTTCTAGTTATCTGTTATCTAGCATTTGTTTGGACAGCAATGTGCTGCGGGTTACAGACGGGGGCGAAGTCATAGATTGCATCGTCATTTCCACATTTCGAAAGTTTGCTTTATACACTCTGTATTTATAAAATGTCCCTTTACGGAATAATGTCTTGCTGGGGTGAGAGAAATTTGGTATAATCAATTATCAATCGACTTCTTGTGCTTTTTACTCTGGACTACAAGCCACAAACACATTATGCCGGTGAAGGCAATGAATCAAACAAATGTTCAAAAAGATTATTAACATTAGTCTTCATTGCAAACTGCTTAGGAGAATGGGCATTACGGTTTTGAGCCCACAATCCATTCAGAGCAGCTCGGTATGAAGGTTAATCAGAGCAGCCCCACTCATGAGGCTAATCAGTGGAGGATATTGTATTTCACTGTTGGTCTGAATCATCATGTCTTATACGCTGTGGGTGCTAAATCACACAGGAGATGTCAAACAACTTTACCTGCAATGCTGGCAAAGATTTCGCTGATTCCTATCAGCACATACTGAGGCACTTGCCACCATATGGGTAAATCTGCAGCGTGGTAGGTAACATTGCCAAGCACCTGGTCAATGGTACCCTTTGATTTGATGATCTCCAGGCGTTTTGTTTCCAAAATACCTGAGGGGACAAAAAAAAAAAATGCAGATAAGCATAGTTAGCAGAGTGTAAGAAGAATTTCACAAAGTGTTGTTCTCTAAAAAACCTCCGTACACACATGTTTATAAGGAAAATTCTGCAACATACATACTAATTTAAAGATGCAAACAGGGCCACGGGTGAATCTAAAGGCTTGTATATTACTTGTCAGGATTAAGAGACACTTGGTAAGGTATTTAAAGTCCATGACACAAACAAACACTTGCAGAGGACTTAGTGCCAGTCCGTTAAGCATTTAACTCGTTTTAAGGCTACCCGAACGCTTCATTAAGATCACATCTGCACGCTTCCATATTATGGCAGTTGGTTATGGAACAGTGCAGACAGTTTTATAATAAGAGGCTAGCAGTTGTCATCAACCGCTGCCGCCTCCTAAAAGCTTTATTCGATAGAGCTATTATCATGTAACCAGAGGCTATTTCCAGATAACTCCCAGAGACAGCTTCCTATCATAACTACACTTAATGCTGTTCTTGAGAGAAGTAGTAGCCTTGTAATCCGACTATCCTATAATACCAGCCGTCCATCTCAGGCAGTGTGGCCACTGGGCTGCTGAGAGCAAGAGTCACACAATAAAACACACACCCCTGCTTATAAACATCACACAGCCAGTGTGATCCCTGGCAACTCTGCTACAGCTTTTCATAAAAAAAAAAAATAAAGATGCTTTTGGACACCTAAAAGCCATTGAGCTTTAGCTAAAGCAGATTAGTATATGAAGTTAAGAGAATGTGATAAAACATGTTTTAAAAAAAAACTCTTCAGAAGCAGTGTCAGCACAGCTTTTCAGAGCAGGCCTCAGTATGTGGCTGATTGTTGTTCACAAATGAAGAGCGGATCAGAAACAGTTCGTCTGACAGCATGTCTTCAGCTGTCTCTCTGCACTACGAGGTCCAGCTGTCCTCTTGCCAGGCGTGTGACAGCGGGCGCGATGAAACCCTGTGAAATATCCCAGCAACCATGACGTCATGACACATTCATGCATGTTTGTTGAACATGGTTATGAAAGTGATTCTAACTCTCAACAGCAGCGGTGTGGCCGATGTTGTGGACACAAAGTGGCGGGCTGACAATGCAATGTGTTGGTCTGGCTCTTTTCTGGCAAAAGATGCCACACTCGGTCATTCACACCTATCCATCTTTCAGTCTCTGAACACAACATGATTTCAGCGACTGGACAGACGCAGATAAGCAGTGGGGACACACAGAAAGCCATGTGAGGAAATTGCCGTTCAAAAAAAATTATAAAATTGTAAGGCAGCAGCCAGGAGTCAATGTGTGTGACTGAATTCATGTGAAGCAAGGCAATGCAAAGGATACAGGGCACACATGCTCAGTAAATAATCATGGCATGAATAATTGTTCAAATAAGGTGCAGATACAATATCATTATTGTTGTATCTCAATAACAGTACATTTATAAAATCCAGGTCAGTAATGTGGTCCTCACTAGCTGTGTGTTCACCTCCTGTTCTGTGACCAATGGCAACACCACTGCACCACTTTAAACCCCTTCTCTCCACTCCGAGAACCCAAAATTGCTTTCCGCAATATTAAGAATGTATTTATCCCAAATTCAATTGCAAGGACTGCACTTTCTTTCAGGAAGCCAAATGGAAAAGTAAATACCTAAATAGCATTTGAAAATCATAGAAAGAACATGTTGGAGCACCTTTCCTTCCAGGACTGCTCATGTCTCCTGAAAAGAAAATATTACTTTAAAGTGAAAAAGTAGACACATTAGATTTGGTTCATAGACCTTTCACCACATCCCTCTGATTGCAAAGGATGTTTTTGATGGGCTAAGTCAGCCTTTAATAAGTCGCTAGAACATCACAAGACTCTCCCTCAACAAACTTTCTCATCTCTTCGTCCCCATGTTTATATAAAAGTGAGGCAAAAGGATAAGAGCAGTAGTCCAGCAGCCTTTTCCTCTCTCTTAACCACAACAACACCCAGATATTTAAAAAGGTAGCTCTTATCTTAATTCATGGATCATCACTTCCAACCGTGTAATGCAACTAGCACCTGATAAGCTTTGGCAGGTACAAAAGTAGGTCACCTGCCACCATTGCAGTTAAGTGGTCTGTATATCCAGGGGAGCACACAACTTTCTCAGTGAGGTACTCAGATGAGTACCTGGAGTCAGTGTTTGGTACTTAAACTTCTGGCTCCCCTCAAAGTTCCCATGAAGCCCTCTGTATCGCGAATGTCAGGGGGGGGGAACGTTGTGATCAGCTGTTTTAGCGCAGTGCTGCTGTACAGACCGACGTTAACAGCAGCCCTGTCTGTGCACACGGAAACCGACTGTCGTCCGGTGATCTAACCGCCTTCTGGAAAAGCTTCACAAGTACGTCGGTACGCAAATGCGCTTTGTGACACAAGTGACGGTACGCATTTCAGATTGTTGCCGTGCATGCGTACCTGCGTACCACTTACGTGCACCCCTGTTTATATCAAGATTTCCAAGAGTTGATATCCTTGTAGCAAAAGCAGTGCTTTTATTAAAAAAGTCAGGGATTAAGACAATGTGAAAATGTCACATTTCTACTGTCTCCTACTACTGACTCAGTGTTACAATTATAAAGTGTTCTACATGCAGTAGGTTTAAAACTTAAAGGTCCCCTATTATACTGTTTTTCATCAATATATTATAGGTCTCAGATATATACAAAACATGTCTCTGAAGTGTTTGGCTCGAAATACCAAATAGATCATGCATAGTGCATACATATACTGTATACATCGCTCTGTTTCAGACCTGTTTCAAAAGTGTTGATTCTCTGTCACTTTACTTTAGATGAAAATAAGGAGCCCCTCCCCACGCCCCTCAGAGATATTTGGTTCAAAAGAACACAATGGTGCTCTAGGAGGAGATTCAGGTGATTATGACATCATAAAGTGGCCAAAATCTGATCAGCTCATTTTCAGACAGGTTTTTATATAAATGGATCAAATATGTTTTCCTGAAACTTTCAGAATCTCTTTCCACAGAGGGGACACATGTTTATGTATAAAAGACATCAAAAAGTGGATTTTGCATAATAGGTGACCTTTAAGTGGAATTATTCGGCATGGAGAAACCACAATTTCCAACTACATATCATACTCACCACTAACTCTATATTCCACTGCTTTAACCAGGCACTACTAATATGAGAACTAACTTGGATTAGAGCTGATTAAAAAGACTGTTAATGTCATTATTACATGAGCTTTTACCATATATGTAAAAATGCTTCTTCTTAGATCGATATAAAAACCATTTAAACACTGTGTATTATACGTATTGGTCTTTATACCATATGGCCTTTTACACATTCTGCTGTCAGATGACTATAGAGATTAATAACCTACTTATGCTGATGAGGATTCAGAGCACTAGCAGATTGTGAGTATGACAGGACACATACGGTAAGTATCATCTTATCTGGCGGCTCCAGTGTTCTTGTTGCAAAAGGTGTGTTCATGCAGCTCACACATTCAAAATTGCTTTTCGATCTGGACTCAAAAAGCACTTGGTAAAATCATTTCAAACAATAAACACGGCAGCTCAGACCTCTAATAGCTATTATAAAAAGGTTCAATAAATTGCATTCAGATCATTATAAAGCAGTGTGACAGACATTAGTGATGTAGATGTTGTGTAATTAATAGACTCCTGAGCAGGGAATTAAGTCAGATCACATTATTTGCTTTATTTAAGTGTTAGACAAATGTCCTCTAATGTATCCGCATTGTAATTAATGTGAACAAAATATTTAATAAACCATTTATAAAATTGAATTATCCTTCATAATGGTTGTCAAATGTGATTCAGTGCATCATTAACAGACAATTGGCAATCTGACACCAGTCAATATCTAAAAGGTCACTAATGACAGAACGTGTCCATATTCTGTGGCAGACGCATTGTGTATCAGAGAAAGGGCAGAGGTTGTGGGTAATCTAATGAGCATTGATTTCAGGAGTGTTACCTAGTTGCTTTCTTCCTGCCCCAGGCTTGTCTCTCTCAAATCATTTTAGCCTAGATATATCAATGCAGCAGCAACGCTGACAGGCCTAGATGAGACTTTTATTTATAAAATAATCTTCAGTCTGAAAGTTAATAGGACTGAGCAGCTCTGCCGCAGTCGCCTGCAGTCACTCGGGACCCAAAGGTAAGATGCCACAGCTCCCCCTGTGCTCTGCAGGGCGCGCTTTCCCCCTGCTAGGTGGAATGTGATGTATTGAATCAGGAAAAATGAATAAATCTGTGACAGACCATCTGCTGAATCCCACAGCAAAATATAACACAATAAACAAACCCTTAATTTAAGACAACCTAATCATACTTTGGCAGCAATACTGTATTCTCACTGTTGGTGAGGAACTGATATTTGAGTACCATGTTTCCAAAGTCTGACAAAGGCAGTATTTAGAATGAATAAATGATGTAACTGTGGTTCTACAAATGCATTGCTCGTTGCCTTGAAAGTACTGATTGCAAGTGGCATTTACCGCAAGCACTAAGTTAGCTGTTTCATTAGCGTGTGTGTTTGGCCTACTTATGTGACAGCGTAGAGAGGACATGTCTGTTTTTACACTCACCCGCCGCCACGGCCGAAAACATAACAAAGAACATCCCCACTGCGATCCTCTTCAGAGAGGAAGGCAGCAGGCCGCGGCGTTTCAGGATGGGGTCCACCACTTTGTCCTTAAGGGGAATCAGCATGAGGATGAGCACTGCGTCAAACATGGTGAGCCAGGCTGCAGGGAAGCGGAACGTCACCTGGGGGATCAGAGGAGGAGGGTGAGGTAAAGCTGTGCAAAAACGCAACAAAGCATGAAAACTACTGAGAAAGTCAGTGCATTCCCACACAGTTCACAGAGTGTTTGTGTTCCTATGAGGGTGCATGTGTGTGAGCGCGTGTACCCCGGACTTAATATTGCTTTGGCACCCCCAAGTGGAAAAAATCAAACATAATGAAATGGAAAATATTCGTTTCACTTTACTTAAAAGAAGCATACAGTGGATTTATTAGCGATAAGTAGGTCAATAGGAGTTATTATTTGTGTGTTTTGTCTTTATTTTATCATAAGTAGTAGCAGTATTGTTTTACTTGGCTTATCAATAAAATGTGTAAGAGGCATTTGAGATGCTTTCAGCACAAACTATAAACTAGTACCATTAGGTGTAATTTGAGAAACAGACTGGATGCAATATAAATCAAAGGGAAAACCTACTGTGAGCTTTGTTTGTTGTATGTGCCTATAACATCTCGTTGTCTGAGGAATGGAAGACTGCAAACTGCTGGAGATGTTATTTGCAATTCAAATTCCAAGTGCCATCTGAGCTCCTGATGCGTCTGTGGTTGAACACTTCTGATAGCATAATTTATTCTCAGATTGAATTTCCATTTCTGTGAGTAACCACTGGCCATCTATACAAAGCTCCTTAGAGTGTTTTCATTCCTTGTTTGTGCATTATCATATTCGCAATGATAGAAAGAGCCAAGGGAGACTTTTACCAAGGAAAGCATGGCGTGAAGGATGAAACTGATGATGGTGTTCTGCTTTTTATACTTCCACAAATAGACTGAATACTTTGTGCATACAGGATATACTTAGATGATGGTTCCCAGGTTTAGGACCCAAGAAATGATACACAAGTTGGGAAATATGAGACACTCTTAGTCCAAGCACCTGGCAACCACCTTTTATATGTATCCTAGGGTACTATAAATATATTTGAAAGGGTAGTTTTGAATATTTATTTAAATTATGAATCCCTTACACAACATAGTTCAAATAGTTACTGTTGTAAAAGTAAAGTTCATGCCTGGCTGCCTCCCATAGAAATATATAAGCATAAGTGTGGGCTCTCATTCTTTGAACAGACATTATTTGCTAAGATTTTCTACAGAATTGTGTCAGGCAAGGGTTAGGGGGATCACATCACAGAGGCAACTAATCTCACTTCCCTTTTATGTTGAGAAGTGTCAAGACTGGTAGCTGAAAAGGCTCAGTTCTGTTTTAGATACTAGGTAAACAGTATGTGGAGGGGGGGGAGGGTGCCACTATGGATATTTAACACAGTTAAACACACAAGTATGAGTGAACAAAACTATGTTGAAAGTATCAATGCTACAACTTTCTGTGCCTTAAAAGGACAAATGTAAGATAACATGAATGTAGCAGTAGGGTAGATTGCGTGGTTAACAGGCCAGTGTTTCACTTTACATTTCCATGAAATCACTGCATTTCACCTCACCTCAAGCATGCCTGCTCATAAAGAAGAACTGACGCACTACACTTCCTAGTATTTTTTCGATTTCATCACATTAAAACCTTTGATTTTTGAGGAGTCCTACAGTACAGTATATCATGTGGAGCAACTGGAGGGGATTCAGTCATCAAAGCCCTCCAGAACATAACATACATTCTGTCAGAGAGAGACGCGCGTACAGCAGCAACACTAGTCAGGAAGGATCAGATGGAGGTGCTACTAAGGAGAGGTACAGTCACCGCCAGGTTGCTAATCTGCGAGGTATTAGTCTGTGAAGTGAAGTTCTGACTTAATCCCCAAGGCATTACCAACCTTTGCTTCTGCCTCCAGCTGTTGCCTACAAATGTGTGTCAGTGACCTACAGAGTGCTTTAGTTTCAGCCGTGAAAACAAATCTAGTTCAAACCTGATTATGTGGATGCAGGTTAAACTCCAAGTTGATATGTTTTCTAAATAGAATTATACAGAAGTTGCTAAATATGTGACCCCATTGCTGATATTCTTTTTTTAAACAACAAACAGGTGCTTGGACTAAGAGTGTCTCTACTTTTCGGTTACCTTGGAGCCAGGGGTGACATCTGACGTACTATCAGGAATCCTCAGATGGAGGCCCTGCAGGATGTACGTTGTCTGCATCTGCAACACAATAAGAAGATTAGAGTCTCAGCGTGAGGTAATTCTCCACCTCGTGATCACCAGGGTGTCTGGTGCAAAAACACTCTTCTCCAACATTGAAGCAGGAAATAATCATCCCTCGTATTATTAACACAAGCGCTTCCAGAAATCTTAAATACTCATGTTTAATTCCTTCATGTTTTTCATCTTGTGGGAAACATGACTCGTATATTTTGTATTTCATTTAAAATTGGGTGACCTTACCTGGAAGTACACAGTCCAGTATGGGATAAGAGCAAAGAAAACTGGGAGGACTTTCACCAGGGATTTCACTTCTTCTACTTTCTCTTCTGGATATTTTCCTCCATAGGATACTTTGGCACTGTCGAGCAATGTTGGCTTGTTGCTTCATGGGGAGAAAAAAAAAAAAAAATGTAAATAACAATAAACACAGAAATATAGAACACAGGTAAATGACTCAACTCTTGAAGTTTGAGACTTAATCAGCCCTTTTGAGAACACCCTTAAATGAATGCACTTCTATAGAAAGGGATTCTTTTTTTTTTTAAAGCCTATAATCCACATCTCTGGGGAAAATGTTGAAAGGCTGTGGGATTGGCAAACTTAAAATATTCAATGTCATGTTTTTGAACCAATTGTGCTACTTTGGTTCAAAGTCAAGTAACAGTACTTCAGAATAACTTTGCGCCACAGGGAATGAAGATAAATGCCTGGACCGGTCGGTAGAAAATAATTATAGGGGGGATCAAAGGAGGTTTTGAACATAGAGGTATACCTGTGCTATCCACTGGAGTCAACATTTGCCATGACCTAAAATACTTGCTACTCTGTTGGAAAGAGCCTTTCTACTGGGATGGATAAATGCTTTGCTATTTCACATATGATGTGAGTGTGCTGTTTGTCATTCAGGGAATTACTTTATTACTTTATTGTTTGGAAAATACTCAATGTACTCTTTCAATATCAGAGTAGCACATGATAACAAAGGCCCAACTTTAGCTGTGTACGTAACAGGAAGTATGATTACCTGGAAGACCATCAGGACACACTGTTTTAGGCAGATAGCTATGTGACAACGATTAACATGATGATTCAGCCTCTATGGAGATAGACATTATGACAAGCATGATCATTTCTGACGTGGGTCTTAGCTAATCTAAACTTAACATTGTATACTGCTTTGAACCGGTATTCTGCATCTTGTGACTGTGATACACCCTCTCTTGTATATAAGCATGTGAAGGACACTGTTTGGGGAACTTGTTGTACCATATGCTCTGTATGTGATGACTACTTCCATTCTTGCAAGGATAATAAATACATGTATCCTGATATTGAAGCTCAAGCCGGTGACGAGTGATGAACATTTGTTATCATATCGTCGTCATCTTTTTCCCATTATTACATACAATGCTGTAAAATAACCAACACAGAGATGACATGTCGCTCTCACCGGAGAAGGTTTGGCTCCTTTGGTTTCTTGGAGCAGCATGCAGAGCCCAGGATCCTGAACATGTCTGTGAAGGCGCTGCCATCAGCGGGCTTGGTGATGAAGACAGTACGGCCCAGGAGGAAGACAATGAAGGATATCCCGAGGCACACGGTGGGAATGGTGTAGCCAACCCAAAAACTGTAGTTTTGCTGGATGTAGGCCACACCTCCCAGAGACAGGATGGCTCCCAAATTGATGCACCAGTAGAACCAGTTGAAGAATCGGCGCGTGGCCTCGGGTCCTCTGTCTTTGACCTAAGATCACATACAGAGCAACAAACGATGTCATTGTAAGTTGGTGACACATACAGGGAGAAATAAACACAACATGTGTCTCATAGAAAGACCTTAAACACTAAAGATCTTTACAGCTGAGTGTCAAATCAGATCGATGGTAAACTAGCAGCAAAGGTCAGCTATAAAAGCAACTGTGTTCATCAGCACTTTGATATGCAAGTTTTGAAAGTCACATAAGGAAGTTAACTCTAGAGCAGGGGTGTCAAACTCAATTTCATCGCGGGCCACATTAGCATTCAAAGGGCCGGGTGTAACTTTAAGACGATATACATATATAAAATGATGTATTATATTACATTATTGCCTCTGCATTGGATTATTATTGGATAGGGTAATAACTTCATAATTAACTACGTCTGAATGCAGAAGTCGAGGGCAAATAATGGCAAGTCTCTTCAGTGCGCATGTCACAAAATGAGATGCATTGTGGGACATGTTGTTTATTGGCAATGTGCTTCTGTATAACGGTATGTAACCGTATAATAAACATATTATATTCTTTGCAAGCTCTTGCGGGCCACATAAAATGAAGACGCGGGCCGGATTTGGCCCCGGGCCTTGAGTTTGACACCCCTGCTCTAGAGAGATCAAATTGTGTGCATGTGAAAGGCAATTGCAAAGGGAAAAGCAACAAGCTGTTTTTAAAAGCCCAGCTTTTAAAATCCTGACAATAAATGAAGAGACAAAACTGCTCCGATGATGAGGACCAAGCTGAGACAGACAAGGGGATGAGAGGTCACCAAATTACTTTTTTATAGTGATAATGATACACGTTGAGCAGCTCTGTCGCCGGGTGGCATATTTTAATAGCAATATAACATTGGTTGAAGAATAAGGTAAAAAGAGTGTAAGTATTTTTGATAACTTATAATAAACTTTTTTTGTTTATTTTTTATCTGATTCAGACCATCTAATTGCCAGGTATCATCTAAAATTGCATTATAATAAAGTCTAAAAATAATGCATACATACAGAAGCGTACTTTAATAGCTCCTACATTTAGTTTTGACACAAGATCAATCAGAGTAAGTGGTTGTGTTCCCTCCAGCATTTAGCCACGTCAGGACAAGACAAACATCTAATTTACTTTCTTGTTTCAGTGTTGACCATCCATCAAATACAGAATATGATCAGGTATAAATATTACAATGATCATATGCTGGTAGACATTGCATCTGCAGTGACTCATAAAAAGACCAAAAGAAGCTGCCACACAGTGTCCTGCTTTTATTCGATGTCCCAGTTTCAAACTCTATCCATCATCCGCTGCCTGCACAGAACAACAGCAGCTACAGTAATCCTCTAACGTTATGATTACTGAGAACAAGTTGTATATTCTTCTTTTTTAAATCACTGTCAAAACAACTAAGGCAATGTCCACATAGAAAGAGGGTGCAATCATTTTTTAGCCAGAAATCAATACACATGCAACATAAAATATTACATTTTACTAAAACGAAGCAAACGTATTAGCAGTTCCAACTATTGGTCAATTAGACTTTGAGCTGGAGGAAAATATGAAGGGAGATTGTACCTCTAATTGACACGGATCATATTGCTCTAGTTAAAAACAAGTCACATTTTGTCAGTTTCTATAATTTTGTTTTGCTCGAAACTGTCTGAAATGTAGAATATGTATTCTATATTTTGCTGTTGTGTTTCCTGTCATGTGCCTGTCTCTGTGTTTATTTGTGTCCCTCAATGTATGGACTTTGCTTGACGGTGTGCGTTGTGTATGTTTGAATATGATCAAAAGGAGCATTGACAGAGACGTGAGGAACTTGTAATGTGTGTAGTGGGATCAGGAACTAATCATGTTCACCCTGCCGGTTCACTTGGAGAGGTTTTCACTTCTCATAGTTAGATTATTTTTGAAAACAATCACCCCATTGATGAACTTTTCCCTATTATATGACAGCTTCTTGTAGAAGTGCTGACATTTTCAAACTAACCAAACAGCGTTATTTTTCACTTCCTGATGGCAATAAATTATTATTCAAAAAGGAAGATGCATGTCCAAGTGAACTGTCATGGTGCAAAGGAAATCACATGTTAGACCTCAATGATGTCACACTGAATACCTAATCTTATACAGGCCTATGTATGTCTGAACAAAAATCTCCATGTCTACTTTGAACACTCCTTATTTATTAAGACAGACTTTAAGATCTGGAAGTAATATGGCTCATACTTTACCTGATCTGCCCCAAATGGAGTGATGTTGGACTTCACGGTACCCACTCCTAATGCAATTAAAAAAAGGCTACTGTAGATCACCGGGCCACAATATGGGGCACGGATGGGGCAGGTTACATTGCTTGAAAGGGTACTGTTTGTGCTCATACATTCAGCAGGTTGCACAGGAAATGCCCCTTCGTCTCCACATAGCTGTGTCATGGTATCTTCATTTGAGATGAAAGGGAAAAATAGCATGCCAAGAAAATATAGGATCAAACTTGAAGCAATAGTCCAGAATTTCCCAAGGTATGCATCTGCCAACCAGCCTCCAAATGGTGAAATCAGGTATGTTACTCCCATGAACATCAGAGGTGTCTGGCTCGCCTGGGTGCCCTGCCAATAAAAGGGACTACCATTGAGAAAAAGGACAAGATTGGATGTGATGCCATAGAAAGCAATCCTTTCTAATGATTCAGCTAGCAGGATGGCTGCACATGCTAGTCTTCTTCCCTCGAAAACTGATGGTTGTGGTGAAGGTATGTTCCCAGAGTCCAACAGAGGGGTGCTCTCATTGGCATCCCTTTTGTTAGACATTCTTGACTAACTCAATTATTCTTAATTAGAGAGAGTTCAAATCTGTAAAGAAAATACAGAGGATGTCAAACACGTAAGACAAACGTTGTCAACAGTGTGAACACAGAGAAAACAGCTAACTATACATAATTCACATCTAATTTGTCAAATAACCCCTTCCTTATAATACAGTATGTATACAGGCAACTAATACAAACCTAAAGTATGCTAGCTTTAGCTAAACGAACGCTTAATAAGTGTGTGTTTACATTACCGTTAATATGACTGAAACACGTCCCAGTTGTATTCAATGATCTCCATGAACCTATATAATATGTACCGCTCAGACATTCACTGTGACCCGTCTTAAATCATTACTTTGTCAAAGGAGAACTGGAAGTCAACAAAAACCAGTGTCACAGTACTATCGCGTGACATATGCTCACAGTCAACAAACGGTCACACTTGCATAGTCCTGGAGACGATCTATAAGTGAAATTTACCCGGCATGCCCAGCAAAGTAATGCGGCAGCAGTCCATCCATGAGATTTGTAGATTTGTTCCTTTTACGCAGGCGCGTACATCGATACAAGGAAGTGGTGATGCGGTTGTTTTATTTTTTCTTCGGTGTTTTATTATCACTGATACTGTCTATGACAAACCTGTCAGCAGACAGGAAGCTGCCTGTCGTTTTATTTTTACTTAGTCCTAAATATTCGTCTCGAAACTAAATACTGATATGGGGCAACAGGGCCTGTACAGTATGTGCTACCGTCATGTGTTTCCAGGGGAACATATAGAAGACGGACTTGTAGACATTTCAAGTGTGGGGCGTGTGGGGTGTACTCTGTCAATTGGGCTAGCCTTAAAGTGCTAGCTTTGCTCTACGTGTAACTTGCAGGCATGGGTTCAGGAAATGTGATACGAGTTCAGCTAGCGAGCCTACTGAACCAGCACCTAGAGGCTCTGCTTGCTGCATTTTTCAACCTGTTTTTCACTAATGTTTACATGTTAACTAGTTAGCTCGTCATACCGGCCATTAGTGAAGATATGAAATTACTCTTTCTTGCTTGCCTCAGTCCTAAAACTGGAAACCACACTACAGCTGAGAGAATAAGGTAATTTACGTTGTTGCTAAGCTAGCTACAACAGCTAATTAGTACTTACCTGTTGAAGCTGCATTAGGCAATAGCAATGTAGTTCACTGTAAGCCATGTCATAATGAAATGGTCTACTTGACTGTACAATTTATTTAAAAAATCATCTAACATAATCATTTAACTACCTACCTTAGTGCACTTTGGCTTTAGTATATCAGCTATAACCTGATTCAGTAATATGCAGCTTTAGAAGGACAGTTGTAGACAACAACAAGGACACAACACAACATTTGAGGATTAAAACAAGGCTTTTCCAATGAAGCTTTGATGTTTGAAACTTTATTTATCCATAGTCATGTTTATTTTGTTTTAGGTCCCACATTGAATCAGCTGGACACACCTGTGAGCTCAGAGATGCAGCAGAGTTTCAGTCTCCTGCTGAGGTGGCAAACCTGTTATCCAGTAATCCTACATTTGAGGGTGCACTGGCCATCCATCTGTTTAAAGCAGGCAGACTTCTCTTAGGTAAACATCCTTGCTGTCATGATCCATTCACTTATCCATATACCTTTAAGTCATGTGTTTTTGTCAAAAAATAATATAAGACATACAAATACACTGTTACCTGTCCTATAAATGTCAGGACCTTTCTGTTTTATGTCTAACCTTTACACCAGACATCCAAGTACCCTTTGGCGTTATCTTTGGCGGAACAGATATAAATGAAGATGTGAAAGTTGAGCAGAAGCGTGTGGTTATGGAGCAGGTGCTACAGAAAGCCAGGTGATGTTGATGCAAACTATTTTAACCCATAAAAGGTATTTGTCTGTTGATATCCGTGGAGAACAGCAGTCACAATTTGTTTTGCTTCTGAATTTTAATGCAAATTCTTGATATCAAAAATTCAATTCCTACTAGTAATAATGTTTATTTCTGATATCAAAAATTGAATTTTAACTAGTTGTAATGTGTATTCTTGATATCAGAATTGCGATTTTAACTAGTGAGATTTACATCGTTTTTCTCATTCATTTCAATGGGAGTTGCAATTTGAATCAGTAATTAAATTGGTAGCCTACTATTTACAATACAATTTGAACTATTAACAATTCAAATGTCTATCAGTAATTCAATTGTTGATATCAGAAATACAATTTGAACTAGTTCAAAGTCCTTTTTTGATATCAGGAATTCAATTGTTACTAGTTATAATTACATTTGTATTTATAACTAGTTACAATTGAATTCCTGATATCAAAAATTGGCATTTGAACTACTTCAAATTCCAACTCCCATTGAAATGAATCACAAAAACGATGCAAATCTCACTAGTTAAAATCGCATTTCTGATATCAAGAATACACATTACAACTAGTTGCAATTGAATTTCTGATATCAGAAATAAACATTATTACTAGTAAGAATGCATTTTTGATATCAAGAGTTTGCATTCTTACTAGTAAGAATTGATTTGTTGATATACTCCAGAAATGAATAAAAGCTAAATCGTCTTGCCATACTATATGGCTGACTTTTAAACATTTTATTGCAGGAAAAGCACACGTGCAATTAATAACATGCAATGGGACTTTTTATATGACAAGTTATCCGTTAAGAGTGTGATATAAATGTTAACATTTTTTATATCCAAATTTGCCAGTAATGTCTCACACAATATGTCGCTTACTTCCTTTTTCAGAGGTTTTAATGCAGATGTCACCATCTTGAAGTGCAACCAGGAAGTAAATTCTATCATTTACACTTAACTGAAATTGTTCGTGTCAATCAAGATATCTCTGAAGATAACTCTAATCTCAAATTGTATTAATCATGTGCTTTTTAAGTCTTGGAAAAAACTACAGCTTCACAGGCTCAAAGTAAAGTTGTTGCCACAGTTGTGATATATATTGCCATTAATCACTATATATGTACAAGTGAAACATATGTAGTGTTATTGACCAGTATTGCTTTAAGTATTCAGTGCTCAGCTCCAAAAACTGAAGCAATTATGATCACCAATTTTATTTGTCAAGCTATAAAAATCATATGGACAAGAGTATCAAATATGTATTTGGGTAAAAAGACTGGACATCAAACAAAGAACTGGTATGAAAGTATTAGGAACATATAAAGGCCAAATACATCTGTGCAGTTAGTGTGATCACTCCTCCCATAGTTAAACAATGAAAAAAGCGTATCCTGTTCTGTGCCTTAACATCAGAACCCTGGTGGCTCGGTAATCATTATGATAAAAATAGTTGGCATTGAGTAAATGTAAAGGGATAGTTGCCTTCTGGGAGAACTGGGGAGATCCAGGTCTTGTGACTTCAAACATCTAAATCCACGCACCTCCCACTGCTAGTGCCTTCTCACACAGCCTTGATCAAGATATCAGAGCCTTTTGGCCAATTAACTTGTGCATGCTCACATTGGGCTAATTCACATTTCATTTTTTTCCCTCTGTATTCTTGAATCATTTGTCTTCAAACCACAAGCACTCGTTCTGCTCTCACGTGTTGAGCCTTAGCATAGAGAAGTTTGTGTAACTTCTGTTCCCACTGCTTCTTCCTCTTTTATTGTGAAAATTGTCACTGCTTGAAAACTTCTAAAACGTACTGCCGACAATTACATTCTTGTTTTACTTAAATTAATTTCAAAGGGGTGATAATGACGTTTTTTTTGTCTGACAGGTTTGCTGTTGCATTCACTGACAAATTGAAAGAAGAAGCAGAATTATATTTGGTATGATTATGTCTTTGGCATTTGAATAGAGCAGTGGTTGGAATAAGCACTGATGCTTGCACGTGTTGTCTGTGTTTCATGTGCCATTGTTACAGTAACATCACCCACATAATCCACTACCTCCAAGGTGATAACATTTACAAACAATTGACCCCTGTTTTACAAAGCTACTATAAGAAAATCAGTTAGAGCAAAATATTTTTGTTTGCTTTTTACGACGCTACAAAACACTGCAATAGCCTGACAGCTCCAATAAATATAACAGAAGGGCTTTCACTATACAAACACAATATCCTGCCCTGCCTCGTAATAGTTAGCCATTAAGACAATTATTATCATGTTTTATTTTAAGATTAGATTCTAGCCCTAGGCTGCGGATTGAGGCGAATGGCATGCTTTATCTCTGCCATTTAGTGCTGACAGCAGGCAGACAGGACAGGCACTGAGAGGCATCGCCATGCTTTTATTGAGACAGAAAACACACAGGGGATGAATCTACTGTGATAACATCCAGTCAATATCCTCTTCATCCCTTGTGATGTATTTACTACCACCCCCATTATCTTTACCAACTGCTTTCTGACTCTTTTAAAGTTTGGATTTAGATTAAATGTGTTTGGAGCACAAACAGCTTTAATTGGCTTCTATTGTCTGACAACAAGAGAAAGAAGCACAGTTGGCAATAATCAAATGTAATTTATATAAACAAACACTAAGAATTGATTGATTCAAAACACTTGTGTATTTTTGTTTTGAATTTGTTTTCATCAGAATTGTTTTCCTCTGTTATTTTTCTCTGAAGCTGTCCCAGAGCAGTAGAATCTATGTGCAGCCCCAAGGTAAGCTCTGCCGGATGAATATCCTCGCTTCATTCTGTGAATCCCTTTTTCGCCATTGAAGTGTTGCATTAATCAGCTTTGACATGTTTTCCCTCCATTATCATGCTGTCTGCAGTACAGAGTTTTATTTGCTCTTGCCATTGGCCACCTCACCATGGAGGAGAGCCCAAATCACTCTTCCATGTTGTTTCCCACCAGCAGCCTTCTTTGGCAAATGGTCCCTACACAGATTAGAGCAGAGCCCTGTGCCAGCTGCATGGCTGAGCTCTGACCAGTGGAAGCTGATTTTAATGCTTTTCCCCAGATAGTGATCACACTGAAGCACTTTTGACACAAACCTCCTAAATATATTTTTAAGTATGTCGATGTTGTTTATTTTACATAGAATTAAGATGTATAAATAAGTCATACAAACGTATGTCCAATATCAATTCAAAAATGTCCCAATTGGGATCAATAAGGTACTTATTTATCTATCTAAGGTTATCACGAACATTGGATGTGATTGATATTTCTACTTTTGGGTGTATACAAACCCTTTATTCAAGGGTTAGGGTCGCTAGGGTTATTTATCTATACAACAACAAAGAGCCTGTTGATATGATTCTACATAATGGTTATTACATTGTTGTTCGGTAAAGGTCCTGACAAGAAAACTGCTTTTCATTTATCTTTATTTTGAAAGGTATCCAGACTGAAGTGAGTGAGCAATTCTGCTGGAGTGAATTCTTGAGGAGCTCAGGTAATGTTACTACTTATGTTGGTTGTTTTCTCACCTATTGCCTAATGTCTGACTTGATTATCAGCAGGCCTTACTCAGGACTTTTGTTTTGTTTGTTTCCTATTTAGTGTTCTTGCCTTTAGTAGGAATTTAGGAAATAATCTAAGGGTCATCAAGAGTACAGGACTTAAGGATGAAAAACACTTACAAAGCAGGGCAGAATCATACATCTGGAAATGACTGTGATAAGTATGTGTCGTTTCTCGTCTTATTATTAAGGCTATGTCTGAAACTTTAGCAGGAATAGTTGTTGGCACATCTACACAACCTTATTTCAATCAGGAGAGATGGTTTTGATGTAAGAATACATATTTATTGCAAGATAAACAAATTAATGTAATGGTGATTTTGGCGATTAGGCCCCGTTGTGCATTCGGGAGGGTAGAACCGATCCGATGAAACCTCCTGGGGTCGAGACACTGGTGGTGGTGAATAGATGGTTGGGTTCGGTCTGAAGAGGAGTGGATTAGCTTCACTCTGGATTCAGAGGGACAGGAGGTGAAAAGGGTCGGAGGAGGGTTGCGTAGAGTCACCTGAAATGACAGCTGTCAGAGGGGGGAGAGCAGATTTAAAAGGTTTAGCAGAGCGCTATGATAGGCACTTGGGAATAGAGCGAAGTGATTGGTTAAGCTGGAGAATGACGCCCCCGATCACTTATTGAGAGGAGAGAGAGTAGTTACGTAGGAATAGTGAATAGTTGGTCTTCCTGGTTGATCTTACGCTGAGCTTCATTACTAGGACAGGTGCTGGATAAAACGTCAATGCAATAAAATGAAAAGGTACATGCACACTAAAAGTTAAGATCCCTTTTAAAATAGGTTTTATCGGTGTCGTTTTGACCAGCTATACCAAGGTGTGTCACATATTTTAAACCATTTGCAGTATTGTACATAATAGCCCTCTGCTATATTCTCGACTGCATGCTTCTCACCTCCACAATTGGACATAGACTGTGTAGTGCAGGGCAGAGCTGGGCAGCCAACACTGAGAGCACAATGGGGAAAGCAATCAAACATCCCATCCTAAAAGTACCAATCAAAGAGCATAAATGTAGCTATATTCAATGTGTCTGATTGTCGGAGAGGCCAGAGTTTGTAGCTGAATTACCCTTTCAACTCTCTTCTTCTGTCTTCCTCTCCCTTTTGAATAGCTCAGTTAATATGCACTGTTACTCCGAGCATCCTCTTCGCAAGCAGCACAGACTTTAAATTGGACATTGCAAAATGATGTCCATCCAAGGTACATTAGTGCTCATAGAGAGCACAGTTGGGGTACAGAGAGGAACATTTGATTAATAGCTCTCTGGCCTGGGGCCATTTGTCACAACAATTCTCAAACGCTGTAAGAAATACTAATTGCCCAGAGTCACTTTTACATTTGTTCCAGTTGGAATAGGAGTCACTACTATTGTGCTTTTCCTCAGTGATGTGTTAAATCACTGTTATCCAACTCAGGGTTCCTTTTGGAGCTGAACACATTGTTTAATTTACTGCATATGTGCTGTCTGACTGTGTTAAATGATCTGTGTTATTTGTCAGTAAAAAAAAACATTTTCCTTGCCATGGTGTTATCACCACAGCATTAAGCAAACTTCATATTGTGTTTTTATGTCAAAATGACGGCCCCAATTCAGAGCTGCATTTATATACAATGTTAACTGATCATGCAATCTATCTTTAATTATTGTTAAATGTGCCTTGTCATAAAAGTAAAAAGGTTTTTTTCTGCTGTCTACTAGATGAGATATTCCATGTTCTCCTTTTGAACTCTCATTCCCTGCTCTGTCCTCTCAAATAATTAGTGTCATCATGTTTTAGTTTTGCTCAAACATAACTACGTTGCCCGAAATAATTTACTTTTGTGGCAACTTGTTTTCTGGTAAATCAATCATTACTAAAGACAACATGTAGTATATTGAAAGTAGGCTTGTTTAATTAAAGTGTGTGTGGAGGTTTGAATGTTTGGAATAAACATATTTTGTGTGGCCTGGAGGCACACTCTAAAATACATCCGTCTGTGAACAGAAAATCTAACTGAAGATATGTGACTATACTGCATGTATGTGTTATCCTTTTGGTTTTGAATACTTTCCAAAGGCACACATACTTCAGCTCTGGCATCCAAAGGTGTCAAGCCATAAAAGCCACTCTGTGTACGGCCCCTGCTGCGTGCCTTTTTGAGGTAGGGGCATACATGAGGAACAGCAACGCTTTGAATCCCTGAAGGATGAGAGTAAACATTCAGAGGCTCTGTTGTTGTCATCTTGTCCAGCTACCTGATCCTCAAGGGATAGCATGAATATCACATGAGTTACGTAAGAAGCTTTCCCTCAAGTGTCTGCATTAATTGGTATAATTTAATGAAGAATTCAGAGATGAGGTAAGGTTAGATGTCAGGTTTAATGCTAACTGTCATCTTATAGTGTGGGACCATGATCAGAGAACACTGTTTGTGCCATAGGGGGCACGTCATGCTTGAAAAATGGCTTCATGCTCCTTGTTCATTATGTTGCCATGATGAGTTTTCGTTGAATGTGTAGACATTAAAAATACATCACTAACACAGCTTTATCACATGCTAGAAAAAATGAGTTTGTTTTCCGACTAAAGATATTTTAAAGACATATTTCCTAAGAGCAGGGAACTAGCCAAAGCTCGGACACATGTTATTTTCCTTTCGTGTGTGTGTGTGTGTGTGTGTGTGTGTGTGTGTGTGTGTGTGTGTGTGTGTGTGTGTGTGTGTGTGTGTGTGTGTGTGTGTGTGTGTGTGTGTGTGTGTGTGCCTTAATTACCCTGTTCCATAGACAGATTTAAAAGCAGCTGTTCAAAAGATGTTCCCATATCGATGCACACACATTTACAAACATACTGATTAAAGGACTGTTCAGAATGCCCTTCTGAAATCAAAGGTAAATGAACAAAAATATGTTTTGCATAGAACATACAGAACTGCAAAGAGCGAGAGAGAGAAAAGAGTGCTGCTCGCAGAACAGATGATTTGTCCAATTTTGTTTTGCGCCCCCGAGGAAAGATGAATTGTGTCTTAGATCCAAAGGGGATTTTGTTTTATCATAATATTTCTCAGAATGTTTTACTTACTTTGACACATCTGTGCTCTTGTATGATTCCAGCTATCCTCAATTACTTTCTGAGAAAGTGACATGTTTGTCACCCTCGGCTGACATGCTTTCTCATCTAATACATCTTTGTAAGTTCAATGCATCCCTCAGATAAAGAGCTTTTTTGACAATTGGTTTTTGAATTAGGGTCAATGCCCAGACACCACGCTGTCATTTTAAGATCCTCTTTAATAGCATTAAAGAGCTGCTTCAGCCTCCTGATCTGGACTTATCTGGCATCAGGGGACTTCACTCTACTCTCACTGTGCTTCAAGCACCTGCTTGTGTCTGTCTGCGGTTTTATTTCCACATGGTTTGTTTATAAGTTTGTAACAGACACTGCTAGCAGCACTATCTCCACACTAAGGGTTTCACTTATTTGGTCATTGTCGATCATTAGCGGTCAGGGATCAAAAAAATGCAGTAAAGGTAATTCAAGTGTTGCCATCATGGTAATCCGGTGTTGTAAGGGGCATGGCTTTTGTCTGTTGCCTTTGGAAGGTCAGGTGCAGGAAAGTGCTTGTTGGCAGGGCTCACAGCTGAATGCCGACCAGCTTCTGACTAATCTCTGGATTGATCCTGAAAGTTGGACGATCTGGGAAAAGAGCAGATTCAGTGGCCCTGCCTCCCTTTTAAAACAAGGTTCTGAAAACGTTTGATCTTGTTATGTGATGTTGGGTTAGCTCATTTGAATCTATCGTTGTTCAGTGAGCAAATTGTCACCCGAACACTGTGCTCTGTAGTTATGATGCCGCATTACACACTGATTAGGCTTCAACCTTCCCATGCTTTCAGCAGTCTATTTCCCTGCCGTGTGTTACAACTCTGATCAGAGAATTGTGCAAGCACATTAGTCACTGCTGTCTTATTTTCCTCATGACCTTGGGTGATGTATTGCTTTCATTATCTGTCGATGTACTCGGGATGTTCATTATGCAGTGTTTTGATATTTTGGTGCTCTCTCTGTGTGTCTGGCTCCCCTCCAGATGCGAGCATAGAGCACGTGGATGAGCTGCGTGTCTTCCTCTTGGTCTGTGGACTCAGACGAGTCAAGGACCCCCTTTATCTGGTGGAGGCTTTTCGAGGTATACCATACATTTTATCTATTATACAATAAACTGGTATTGAAAAACATAAAACAATGTTATCAACATCATAGTTGAGTAACTGGCAATTAGCCCAGCTAAAGACTGAGCTTGTTTCAAGCTTGCTCAACCTTAAAGGGAACAATTGGCCACCTTCTCTGTGTACTTTCAATCAGTTTTGATGGTGAATGGGTGAGTTAAGGAATACATTCCTCAGTTCTTGCTATAATGACAAACTGACTACATTTACCATGAACCCTTTTTGTACATCTAAAGGTGCCGCACTTTTCTTTAATGTCCTGTAAACCCAGATGCAAAGCCTTTCTGACTGTGTCTGTTGTAACTGTGGTAGATGCAATAGCTATGTCCTCATCAATAAGAAATGAAGTTAGAACTCGGCAGTTGAGTTTCAGCTAATTAAAACATGTATGTGAACATGCAATGAGATTCTCCTTAGATCATGTTGGCCCTACAAAGTAATTTTCCCTTGTTATCTTGTTGGGTCTTGCCTTTAGACTGTTTCTTTCTATAGGGACTATATATCTTCATATCTTCAACCGTGATAATTAATTAACAACATCAGGGTCCTCCTTGTAATGTACATGACTTTCATTATGTAGTACACAGTTATGGTAAAGCACTACAGGGATTCTTTGAGTTAATAAAACAAATGTATGTATTTTCACATGGCATTTCTTGGCACTAAATGGTGCTACACACAGGCCTACAAATGTGAACATACTATACCTTTCCCTGAGCAAGAATAGCTGTAAGTAATTTACAGATGATCTGCTGCTGTTACATGTTTGTGTTTTTGTTTCCATGACTACTTTCATTTTGTATCTTTCAGAGTGGCATTATGAGAATCCACTGAATGTTCTGGTCATTATTGGGCCAAAGGTAAGAACACAATCATTAACACTCGCTGCGTGTCTCCCTTTGTAGCGTGACTCTCTGTTCAGTTGTATATACATAGAAACCGCCCCTGTGAATTTTTGCGGCCTCTAATTGGATGTAGCGGAGATACTGGCTTTAGCTGTTTAGCTGGAATTAACTGGCAGCCTTAGGAGGAAAAAGGCAAACAGGGGTGAGGGTCAGTGGCATCAGTGGTCTTGATAATGTTTCTGTCAAACTGGCTCTCTGCTTGGTAATCGTATGCATTGCCTACTCCAGATTAGCTCTTACCTTTTACTAGGGACTTGTAAAGACCTACCTCATTTTAATAAACAAGGGTGGGCATATATCTGGTGTGTTAGTATAAATAACAGCCAAAGCAGTTTGCAGTCCTGTCACACACCCTCACCCTGTTTATCATTCCTGAAGATATGGAAGTATTTTTTGTCAAGCATGACAAATATTTTGAAACAAAATAACTATTTAACTTGTAAAGCCTGCCTTTATGATATTCATAAATCAACCAGTCAGCCGAAAAGAGGGAGTTTTTAAACATTACTCTTTTTCTTTTTGTGTTACTGATTGAACCGTTATGTTAGTCAGGTTATATCAGCAGCAGCCCGAGCGCTCTTACAACTGTTCTTTTTTTCACTCCTTTCATTTCCAATTTCGCACTCATTGATTTCTCTCTGTGTTTGTCTTTATCGTCTCTCCCCCTGACTTGCTTTGATATGACACCATAGTACAGTATGTTTGTGTCTGTTCTTTCTTTCAAACAGTGTTGTGAGGCAAAAGGTATGTTCTTCTTAAGATTTGTTCAAAAAAAACTCAATTAGACATGGCCACGGGCTTATTCACTATCTGACTGCCGCTTCTTGCTGCGCTTTGCTTTGTTGTTTGATGAAATGGTTCAGGGGAAGTGTGATTCATCTCGAGACCCCTGAATCACATTGAAAGCGTTTGTTTGTTTGTTTGTTTGAGAAATCCAAAGACATACAGTGTATTATTATAATCATTATTATTATAAACATGCATTTGTAGGATGGCCAGAGTTTCCCTCAATTATTTAACATTTCCACCATAATTGTACTAATGAATTTACCTTAAATTCCAAAAATATGGATATTAGAGAGAGACACATCCTGCTCCTCTGTGGCTGGGACTTATCTTCCCCCACAATGTGCACTATGTTCTATACTATTATTGAATAAAATACATCTCAAAATGTTTCAATAATGTTATTTTTAGTTTATTATACTTGCTCACAAACAAGAAACTGGGCAAAATGGCACAAAAGCTAAAGGAAGGTATGGTACATTCACCATGGAGGTACTTAGCCTTCCCCTTCTGACTCGCCACTTCCTTCACTTCTGATTTCTTTTGATTTAACATGGAAATTATTTGTGTTCGTTACTACAGCAGTTATCGTGATTTATCCCCTGCTGGATTAACAATGACTGCCTGATCCCAGATTTAACCGGGATTCAAAAACAATTCAGATTCTTTGATTTCTAATGCACAAGTGCTTTAAAGCAGATTTTATTTAGAAATTCCATGAGCTATAAAATGGAAAAAGAAAAAAAAAGTAGCAGCTTGCTTGGCAACATCTTTGACCTAAATTGCGATGCTTTGACTTTTCTGCAGGCTTGCTAATGCACACAAATCCCACATTGCAATTAATCAGATTGGCCACCCACCCCAACTGACCCCAATCTCTGCAAATACAGGATTTTCAGAGAATGATTTGCTCATGATAGAAATGATTATTTGTGTTATTGTTTATTTCGTCTTTCAGATTAAGTCATTTCTGCCTTCCTTGATGAAAATCAGCAGATTTCACTTGTCTCTGTGGTGTTTCTGTCTCACTTAGATTGATCCTGTATTTACTGTTGAAGTGGAAGCTGTTGTTAAAAGGTAAGCCATATTTTCTTTTCTCTACCAGTCACCCAGCTCATAAAAGAACATTTGATATCTGACAGTCTTGCCAAGAATTTACTCCTGTTTGAAGACTACTTATCCTTCTATATGCCCCATTACATGTATCTTGACATAATGTGAACAGAATGAAAATCTGAGGGGAGCGCCAAGATCCTCTCTTTTTTTTTTTAATCTGTCCTCCCACTCTCAAGTCCTTGCTGATCTTTCAGTTTTTCGCCAAGGGCCTTCAGCACAACAAAGCTCTGTGGCAGGAAGCTGCCTTCTCTGGTTAGGAGTTCACCTGGACTCTCCGTGCATGTCCCATTTAGTGCAGCTGTGTTTCCTGCCCTGAGCTTGTCACTGCCCTTTAGCATCATTCACGCCTCTGTTAGCCCTGAGTCACGCAGAACTGAGCTTTGTCGCTGCTTCTGCAGAACAGCAGGGGTCTTCTTGGCCCAGGAGAGGAGCCAACAGGAGCTTCACGCTGCCATGAAATGGTGCTTCGCCGTGGTAAACAGCTCCGTCTCAGAGGGCATGTCAGCAGCCATTTTGGAGGTAAATATCTGAAGGGCTGACACGTAGCACAAAATCATGTTCTGACTTCAATGCTGTACACACCATTGTATCTTTTTATAGCTCATGCATCGTGGTGTAGAATACCATTTTGGTAAAGTGAATTAGACTTGTGCCATCCAAAGCCCTTGTCAAAATGAAACGGTGTAAATATTAGCAGGAGTCCTTATCCTGCTGTTTCTTGCTCAGCTACAATGTTATCTGACCACTTCAGGGACAATTACCCAAATGGACTGCTTTACTCCAATCTTGAATGAGCAAAACCTGCAAATCCACTTAATCTCTTTAAAACACAGTCGATTGAGATAATTCACAGCTGGCTTAACGTCCAATTAGTATGTTTCACTCAACAACCTGCTGAAGGTAATGGCTGATACACACTGTTAATTGTGTAAGTGAACTCAGGCACTAAAGAGCAGAATGGCTGAGCTGTACAACTTCCAAGGTGCTTAATGTGCTTATTTTCTTGATAGTGATAAAATAAATGAGTCTGTGAATAAGTGACTTTACTTTGTGACATTGTGAATTTTAGCCACGTTTGAGAATGTAATCTGTTTGCTCAAACAGGCCATGGATCTCGGGGTACCTGTGTTGGCCAGGGACATTCCAGGAAATGCAGCCGTAGTCCAGCATGAGTACACTGGCCTGCTGTACTCGTCTCCTCAGGTATTTAAAGCCATACACTGTCTCCACCACATACTGTACATGCATTAATCCCCATTTGGCTTTAACACTGTCTGTGTTGATGCACCACAGTCTGAGAGGATATTATGTATTAGCACTGCAGCCAATGTCCGCTTCTATAACTTCAATTTACCAAAATGTGTTGACTGTTAATAACTTACCTTACTTTAACTTAAACTATCTCAATTTTAAAAAGGAAACCTTTACATCAATTTATCAAACTTCTTACTTTACATTCTTATCATTAATCCAATCTAAGCAGATATAATATAATATATGTAGTATAATATTTAATGAGATTTGATACAAAAGGAGAATAGGTTAAGGCAGTTGAGCATGGTGCTTTCAAGACGCCATGCTCTTGCGTGATGTTGTTGTAGCGGCAGGGATAAGTCCTCCCCGGGGGGTCACGTATGCTCAGCTCAGCTGCCAGGAGAAAGCTCTCACAGATGGTTGTTGCGACCTGGGCTGAATAAACCACGACCCCAGCCAGGGCCGATGGGCAGCGAGTGCTATTCTGTCAACAAAATAATATTTTTGCAGTCGACCGCACTCTAGACTTTTTCTGCCTACTTAAAAATCCCCTCCTATGTATTATCGACTAAAAGTGATTACATGACGAATCTACGTATCAAGAAATGTGTCAAAAGGAACAAACACACTAGCCCTTAAAAGCTTTTTAAGAGGAAAATGGCACTTCCTGTCTGGCTCTATAATTTACACTAGGCCTGCTGCTCATAAGTTGGGCTTTAATCCTGTTGCTAAGGATTTATAGCTCTCATGGCCATACATAGAAGACGTTCCTAACCAAGAGCCTCTCCAGACATAATCACGTCACTTGAATGAAGTAAAGTGAATTGGCTTGCTGACTGGCAGTGGCTAAAACGTTGTGTGCCCATTGGCTCCTTCTGCTTCAAAAAATGTTGAGTGCCATGTTGTAGGAAGCCAACGTTTGAGGAACTTTCATTCATTTTCTTGGAGGCTTCGTTTAGTCTGCTGGGCCAAAAGATGAACTGCTAGGATTCAGGATAATGTTTGAATAGTATACACATCTCAGTGAATGTTCAGAGATGACAATATCAAACATTTCTTAATTGTCTCATTTATATCCTCATCTTTCCCTCACCATGTCAATGTGACAGCTGGTCGGTTTTTATTGTTAAACTGTAGCATTACAGTATTTGGATAGACTGTTTTTGACTTGGAGCCACAAATACCTCCCCTATTTGGCAATGTACAGATATTTTTGAAGTATTTACTAATCAGCACAGGCTCTTATTTGAGTTCTGTTCTCATGCCTTGGGTAATCTTTTGTTGTTTAAAAGAAAATTCTTGAAGCAACTTCAATGGCAAGCTTTAAGTTGCATTTGGCAGTAAATGAGAATCGTTTTGCTTTTATCCCTGCCAGGAATTTGTGCATCAATCTCAAAGGCTGTTATCAGATCACGAGCTGAGAGAGAGAGTGGTAAGGAATGGAAAACTTTACGTGGAAGAGTATCACGGCCTGAATCAGGAGAGAGAAACCTACCGGCGGCTGGTGGACACTCTGCTCTGAGCGCAAGGTGACAGCGCTCAACCCCACTCTGTAAACTTTCTCAGGAAGAGCTGGGCATTACCCTGCTGCATTTACATGCTCTAGGTAAAATGATCACAGATGTCTTTATTCACTGTCTTTTAGGAAATCAGGCTACATAGATGCTGTACAAAATCATCTTGTTTTATCTGCACTGCCGAATTGAAATTATGCTGCAGAGCACTTTGAACCAAAGAACCAGACAATAAATGGTTGTTTGTCCTGTTAATATATGTAATATATACCTAAATTGCTAATGTACTGTTATTTATGTTTGGAATAAATATATAAATAAGGCTTCTCTTCTTATCAGTCTACTTAATAAAAGAGGCAAACAACTCCACTGTTTGTTTTTGAATGGTTGGGTAATTAAAAATGTATTTTCATTCCCTCTATTTCATTCCTTACGCCAAAATAATACATGCAAAAATCTAAATTTCTCCTCAAACTCAGTGGATCAGCTAATGTACCCTTTCTGCAACTGTTCCAGTATTTTCTATTTCTTCCAGTCTGATTGCTACCACATTCAACGGTTGGGTTGCAGACATCCAGGGGCCAAGCAAAAATTTGTTTAAAGGTCAGAGGGGCACAAAGGCTTCTTGTAATTTGTCATTACAAAGGTTGATTTGGCAACACGCTGGGGCATGGGCTGGTTAGCAAAACATTTAATGTTAACCCTCAAAAGTTTTGCAACATTTTTGATGCAAATGTAACATTTAGAATGACACCAAATATAAATAAACATCAATAGCTGTCCTGCATTCTGTATTAGGGAAGGAAAATAGTTAAGGGTCCCATGTCATGCTTTTCCGGTTATTACCCGTCCCCTTGTGTGTTATGTCGTTTTTTTGCTTGTAAACGGTCTGCAGAGTCAAAAACCCTCAAAGTACACCCTGTAGCGAGTAAAACTCTAACACAGAAAAGACCTGTCTATGCTGCCCCAGAACGCCTCGTTGGAGATTTTTCTTTTTCCATTCTTTTCTTCCTGGTACCAAGTGACGTAAGGACGACCAAATGGACCAATCCGTGGAGCTCCTCACACGCACACATACTCACTCAGCCTTATATTTTCTCAGCCGCGAATCCGCGATACTCTGCAGAGTTTCGCCGGCACACTCAGCCTTATCTTTTCTCAGCTGCAGCTGCGTGGATCTCCACTCACAGTTCGCCACACACTCACGTGTGTGTGAGTTCAGGCTGAGTTCAGGCTGAGTTTCGCCGTGTGGAGCTGTCTCGCAGACCCCACGCAGCAACCAGGAAACGACACCAGTAAGCCAGCTCACACTGTCAGCTCCTCGAGTCTCAAAGAGCGGAGCAGCGAGCCCCGCAACGTCCCGCCAACACGGCACCCAGACCCCACGCAGCATTCTCATCTGTTTGTCCATACTGGTGTCATTTTCTGGTTGCTAACAAACGCCATTGTAACACTTAAACACACATCAGAGCACAGTGGGCTCATAGGGAGGGGAGGGGGGGCAGGAGCTCCAAAAAGGCGGGTAGAACAAAGAGTGAATACACATAATATACAGAGATGCTGTATGAGAAAACAATGTGATTTTGGAACATTGAACAATGTAAATCTATTCTAGTATACCTCAACAATGGAATTATGATCAGTAGAAATGGCCATGACATGGGACCTTTTAAGATTACGGTGTTTTAATGAGAAAAATAAATGAAAATTTGATTCATTTAATATTTACAAAGAAAGGGGCCTTAGATATTACATATGAAAACAATTAGTTGAGTTTAGTATTATAACTGGAAATCAATAGTTGGCATTTGTTATTCGGAATACTTATTCAGTCATTATTTGTACTTTCTATACCAGCATGTGAGTGCAACAATTGAAAAAGAAATCCACATGCAGTATAAGCATTTGGTGGCTTTAAATGCTGTGTATTAAAAGTCCATCTGGTTAACCATTTAACACATATCCACACTCCAAAATGTAAAATAATATACAGTTCATGTAAAAGGCCTTGATAGGTAATGAAATGTAGAGGAGGGCAATTCCAAAATCACATATTCTAGACAGTTAAGAAAGGCATAGAGGTGATCAAAGCCACATCTTCTGTTCATGTGAGGTCTGATCAGGTTCTGTATTACAAATCGTCTCCAGGCTTTGAAATGGTCATTTGAGGTTGCTCCTCATAACTGTCCTGCTTCCCAACCCAGTGGATGCCATAGCCATTCTCCTTGGGCGGGAGGCGTGGCGAATGCTGGCGCTCTAAAGTGGAGAAGGTGGTGAACTGGACTCTCTTTCGCTTGCTGGTGGGCGAGTGGATGGACTCGCTGTGCATAGGTTTGCTCCTGAGGGAGCCCCCACAGCTGATGGGCGAGTCCGTAACAGAGGCTAGGCAACTGGGCCTTCTGGACATAGAGGCAGTCTTATCAGGCCCGATGTCTATAACGGTGGTTGTAGTCTGGGTTTCTTGCTGGACTGGACTGCCTGGCATGCTCATCACCAGCTCAGCGTCTGTGCCGAGCCATACCCAGTCATGCCTGTGCCCTGTGGGTTCCTGGCCGTGCGAGGGAGGCTGCTTGTGCCTGAACTTAACAACATAGGTGACACAATTAACCAGAAAGACCAAGATGGCCAGGCAAAAGACGCCCAACAGAGCGTACATGCCAATCTCCAAGTCTGTGAGCGGCCTACTGGCCAACATTTCTTCTCCACCTATTTCTACCTCTGATGTCTCCTGACCAGGTACCTCCACCTTGGTGGGAAAGTTATAGTTCACCAGGTTCCCAGGCGCCTTCACAGTGCTAGCAAAGCTGGTCATATCCTCCGCTATCATATTGTCTGACCCATACACCTTGCTGCCATCTGCCGGGCTGCTCACGATGCTGGTAGGAATGTCGGCGCTTCTTGAATTAGTTGTCTTTCCCACTCCTCCGAGGCTCCCACTGGTGATGAAAGTTCGTTCTGTAGTTTTGATGGTGGTTGTAATTTTCTGCATGACACTTTCCTCTCTATCTGAGGTGGGACTGCGCCGTGGAGGGTTTTGGAATGGTTTCCTTTGCTTCCTCACGCTTCCCACCTCTTCTCCATCATTCCCATAGTCATTGTCCTTGTTGCTTATCGTGCTGCTGTCCGTGCTACCAGTATTGCTGTCTATCCGCCGACTGTTCAATCGAAACTTGACCTTGAGGCTGCCGTTGCCCACGGCCACAGTGCTTTTGCGTTTGGACTTCTGGCAGGACTCACAGATGGACATCTCTACTCTAACCAGGACTCCCTCGCCCTCACCCTCGGCCACCACAGTCGGAGGCGTACCCTGCACTGACACCACCCCCTGATCTAGAGACGCCACCATGACTCTGTAGTAAGCAGGATCATAAATGTCAAGAGGGGTCTGGTTGCCATCACTGAACTGCAGCCAGACACTGACCAAAGCTTCCTAAGAGAACAAAAAAGAGGAGAAATTGTAATTGTGCTTCTAATCCTACTTTTCATCTTTTAGTCATTATATGGATTCAGTCATTTACCTGTTTGGGGCTCTGTAGGACCTCCTGTGTGGTTGTGGTTGCCAGGATGGCCCTATTGCTTCCAGTACTGAGCTGCAAGGTCATGGAGAGGCCTGAAACCAGCTGGACGCCCAACTCTGTAATGGTCACTTTGTCATCCACGACTTTGATCGTTTTCTTAGCCAGGATTGCATCAGATAGTGGAGAAAACACCTGTCATAGAAAATCAGATACACTAAATCAGAGGTTGAAGAGTTAAGTATATCATGTTCAACAAGTGCAAGTAAAGCAAATGAAACACTCCATCTGACCTGGGGTCTAGCTGCTTATTGCTATGACATTGGTAACAGGATTAGGATTTCAGGTCATTACCTGGATGGTGGTTGTCCCGAGGTCTCGTCCTGACAGCACCCTTCCAGACTGCAACCTTGCCACTCGAGGGTCCTCCACCTTCATGAAGTATCGAACCATCCTTGTGACATCCACCTGCCAATCCGAGCCTAGGAAATAGGCCTTAGGATCCCGAGTTTCTGCCTGCTCTGCCACGAAGTGAGTTAGCACCCGCACCAGGGCATGCTGGTACTGAAGCATGCAGCCCTTCCCTTTCCTGTCGTCTTCTTCACTGTTCCAACCATTTCTGCAAAGCACACGTACAAGTCACACCTGTCACATGGTAAATGCTTTGACCTGCTAAACTCCAATCACTCAACCCTGTCTCTTTGCCTGATTGGATCAGATTGAGATAATGTTCATTATCTAATGGAATCAAAACCTTAAATCCTTGGAGAAATATGATGTGTATGGGTTAGGGGTGGCTATTATATATCCTATCTACAAAACCAAGTAAGAGAAGTTTTTATGTTAAATAAATTGTTTGTTTGTGGGTCCCACCTTTTTGAAGTAAGTATCGGCACCCTCCAGCTTTTGATCTGGCTCAGTTCTTCGTCTGACACCTCGATCTGGAGGGGGAGTCGAGGCATCCACACATTCAGTTCAAGTTGAGCACTCAGGTAGCTGTAAGTAAAGTTCACCACCAACTTCACCTTGCCCTTTATCTCTTTGCCATTCATGAAAACATAGTCGCACCTGTCCGACACCTGGATAGGGGGAGATAATCCATCAGAACATGAATATATTATCATTTTAATTTGGTGTAAGCACACTTGTGTAAACAATCTACATCACACTTTGTTGTCAATGAAGGAGATATGAGTCATCTAACCAGTGACAAAAAATAATCAAATATTCTCATAAAAGTCACTACTTTAACAAATAGGCCATTCTTACAACAACAATTGGCCTTGGTGCAGTTTTGCACTGCATGAGTAGCCATAGTAATGTCAGCTGGCTGTTATAAACTACTGCGATGATCACCGGTCCGAAGCGCTATAGAGGCAGCATTGCAATTTTATGTTAATCAAAATATCATGTGGTGCAGTGCTGAACATCAGCCCTTCACAGCAATATACATTCATTAATTCATGTTTTCAAATGTGACCTTGGGAAGTTTGGGCGACTGCTCAAACCTCTCAGGGACATTGTCAGACACGAGTCAGGAGGTTTTCCTTGGTCCTCTCAACGGCCACTGCTTTAAACAAATTGGATAATCAACGCAACATTAAAATTCAGTCACAAACCCCCTAAACTGCACAGGGGAGTGAAAGAGGGGGGGGAGGGAAACAGTGACTTTGACAGATAGCCTAAGGAGGAATTGCAATGATTCCTACTCTCATTTACGTGAACTCAACAATTTGTAAGAGAATGTGCTGTCACAGGGTCATGCTATTTTTGAGAACATCCTGTGTCCTCAGTGGGTCACAGCATCAGTCATCCTGCACCCATGACCAGAGCATTAGCTTTCGAATGACCACATCACTGTGTCATTCTTGGTGTTAGCTGAGATGCCTTGGACTCTTTCCTGAAAATAATCCAATGCTTGATTTATATCCAAACAGCAGACTTAGAGGTGGCTCTGGAGCCCTTGAATGGTTGTCATATGAAATGTCTAATGCAAGCATGGCAGAACAGACAAGGTCTGATATAGATCAGTGAACTCATGTGTATAATTCAGTGTAACCAGTCATCCAGAGAAGCATCCTTCTCTGAACCTCCAAGAGCCATGTCCAAACAATATTCAGAAGCATCAGTTTAAAAGGAATGGCATTTTTATGTATACTCTTGCAAATCATTCTAGTCACAATCTGATTCTGCGGCCACGAATATCCTTCCGTCAAAATAGATGTTTGCTAATAATTACGATATTACTTTCATCATTGGGTACAGTATTCAAGGCTAAATGAATAAAGTATTTAATGCTGCACCGACACAACTGTGGGAGTAGTTTTCTTGTGTGAATAAAACATGTAAATATCTTTGAAGAAAGATGTATTGTAAAGGGACAATCATTCGGGCTTGATAATTTAGTCAAAAGAATAAGCCAAGCCATGAAAAGTCCTGATTGATCACTGCTTAGACAACTATGCTCAATATGTCTCTGATTAATATATTAAAGTCTCAATCCTTCAATACTGAAATGACAAAGAAAATGCCTATAAGCACATTTCAAATCTCTCCAACAATCATGCATATACCATCACAGCAGATAGGACTTTGTTTTGTTTTTGTTTTGTCACATGAGCGACACATTATGGATACATCCCACCCCATCTATCACTTGCAGATTTGATACTCGGAGATCAGAAGAGAAAAGATATTGGAGTCAACATGTTAGACTAAGTAGATTAAAGAGAATATTTTTGAATGAAGCCGTGCTCTGGTCAGCAAATAAACTGAGAGCTACTGTAAGCTCAGAACAACAGTAAAGACGGCTACGTTACAGGGTTGAACACAAATATTTATTCCACACCAGGCCTTTTGACCTCCCCATGTAATCCTACTTTTCTTATAACTGACACTAATCTGCACTAAAAAACATGTGCACTTACTGTATACACTGTACTACAAATCGTATTATACTATCAACCTACCCATCTGTTGTTTGCTAGACATGCTTTGGGCAGCAAATAAAAAAAGTGTAATAGATGGCTGGAGTACACAGCATGCCTTTGTTTACTTGCCACTTTACCCTTGAGTAAGTACATTCACAGCCTCTGACCTCAGGGGCAGGAGACCTGACTTTCAATTTCATAAATAAACAAAGCGGGCTTTTGGCCTTCAGCCGTGCTCAGGTTTACAGGATAAAAGTAGCCAGTCATGAGAAGGGAGGAGAGGCAGACTGCGAGGTCATTTGTGAAAAGCGATTGAGCTCAGCGGTTGTTCATTGTCGAGGAGATTGATGGCAGATGCTGTCGGATCCCTGCTAATAGTTAGTTTTACTGTGTGCAAAAGACTCAGAGAGCAGATGTGACTTTGGTAGAACTTATTTGTCCGTCTGTCCTTCCCATCAGAAATGAATCAGGCCTTGGCTTTTTAAAACAGCCACTCTAAATTGCCCCCTGGCCTCGTAGATTCAACAAGGGCAGACAAGGCACAAACATCTCACCTTGTTCCATTCATTGCTGCTAAACGCATTTTCGTTCTCGGGTAACCATTCACAAGTACTAATTGAATGTTTTCTAAATCAGTTGCGAATCTAAGGTTGAATGCAACAACAACAAAATAAGCTATTTCTAACCCTAACCTTTTCATTATAATTGTGTCCCCAAAATTGAAAAGCTTTAAAAATCCTTCTACCCTAAAATTATTTTACTGGGAATGTGTGAAACCAAAGACACTTTGCAATAAGGTGTTAGAAGGTTATAAATGATGATGTGAAGGCTAGCAGGTTAACCTACCTTCAGAACATCTTCATCAGTGGAGCTACAGTCTGTGTAGTCGGACACGTCAGTTATCACTCCGTCTTCTTCCACTGCCACCGTCCTCACAGGCATCACCACCTTCTTTCCAGTCAGAACAGCTGTGTTCAGGATCTCTGTGTCCTGCAGGGAGGCCAGGGAAATCAGCAAAAGTCATTACATTTTAGGGTACCACTTTACAATAAGACTACACTTATAAAGGATTCATAAAGGGTTTATAATTAGGTTATTAATTAGGTTGTAAAGACTTAATTAATCATTAAGAAGCATTGATAAACCAGTTCTAACATAGTTTTCATACATCAACACAGGCTCACTATTTGGCAAGATGACTAAGCCTTATATTGGCTACCTAGCTTACTTCGTATTCTTCATCAGCCAGCATCCTTGGTATCTGTTGTTCACTGAGTTGATTCCCCCCCATCCATCTTGATGTTTCTTGGCATCTCTTTATGACCATTTATTTACGAGTTACTATCATTTATAACTGCCAAAAGGGAGCCTTATTGTAAAGTGTAAAACACATTCCCATGTATTAATGAGTTACTACCATTTATAATAAGGCTTAGCAGTACAGATAAATGTGGGCTCACTATTTGGCAAGCAACCGGTCACAGTTGCCCTGTTTATCTCTTGTCTTATAAAAGCTTATTAATTACTTATAAAGTTTTCACAACCTAATTAATAAATTAATTGCAAACTATTCGTAAACCCTTTATAAGGGTAGTCTTATTAAAGTGATACCCATTTTGTTCTATTATTCTAGTTACATTTAAATAAGAAATTGCAACAAAAAAAACGTTTTTGTTTGCAATTGTTGGGCTCTTGGGTGTAGTACCAAAAGGGTTTTGGGACAGTAGCACTGTGGACTGCTGTAGGAGGAAGGTAGAATAGACCGGAGTGATGAATTGTGACTAAGTGACTCATCAGTCCAGATAAGGTGAGAAGGCCGGTCTCCCTTTGGGACACTAGGGGAGGGGGAAGCAGATTTAAGGCCTGGTGATGGCCAGGTTTTCTGCAGAGGCATGTCCCACAGAGCGTTAACATATCTGCTTGAACACAATCAAATAACTTGACCCGCGGCGGTGAACTAAAAATAATCTCTACATCTACAGTACAGCCTGTTCTTTCACGCTCAATGTATTATGAAATAGGGCAGCGGTGGCAGGTAGAGCACAGTTGTCCACTAATCACAGGGTTGGATATTTGATCCATGGGTCCACTTGTCCTTGAGCAATACTCTGAGCCTATAGGTTGCTAAGGGTGGTAAAGCCGGCAATTTGAAGGGAATTGCTTCCATGTATGTGTATATGTGAAATGGTGATATGAATAACACTATTATAAATACTGTAGGAGAAGCATCCATCTGTCTCACTCTCTGTGTTTTTACTTGCATGTGCATGCATGCATGGATGATCAAAGCATGAAAATGAAGCAGATGGGTATGTGTCGTCCTCTATAAAAACACATTGTTTTAAATGAAGTTGAAATAATTGAATATAGTGCATGTAAATTACTTTGAGAGTAGTGGAGCGCAGTTAAGTCAAGTTTCTGTGCATGATCAGTTGAATCAGATTTAAAGAGACACTTGGTTACTCGGTATGAAAATGAAGCAGATGGATATGTGTCCCTTGACTGTAAAACTGGCTTAAATGAAGCTGAAATAACTGAACATATTATTTTTTTTGCTGTCATACAATATAGTTAAAAAAAACAGATCTGAAGGTTGTCAGTGAAGTTTTCACCATTATATAGAAGTGTTGAGCAGCAGCACTATATGGAGTTCACAGAGCAAGGCTCGGAGTGATAAGTCAGCGCTAATGTCCCCTCGAGCCAGCCATCAAATCTCTTCGTGTTTGGCCCTCTGCCTGAGGCCAGCTTTTAATCCACGAGAAAGATGAACCATGTCAAATTCACGAATCAGGATACTGTAGCATATCCTCATAACGTCAAGCTCTATGGCACCATTATGATGGAAATGCAGAACTGTGAAATGTAAGTAACCCTTCTGCCCAAACGAATGGCATATTGATTCGTAACTTTTAATTGCACATATTTAATCAAAAAAGTGTGGTTGAATTAAAACTAAGAAACTGAAAAAAAGAGTGTGTCAGACTGAGTCAAACCGGCAAACAACGGCAGAAGAAGTTCCCAGGTGACACAAAAATTCAGATTCAATGTTGTAAGTGGCTTGAACTCTTGTATACTGTTCTGCCTTTAGTGGTGGAGATTATATCATCATGGATTAATTATAGAGGATGCATGATAAAGAGGCCCGCAGCACCAAAATAGAAGCACATGAAGCAGCTGTTAGGAGGAGAAGAGGACCATATTGCATGCCAGAACAGAGCACAACAACATAGAGGAGAAACATCAGCTAGCTGACAGTCAGCTACTCAGGGTCAAGCTCGGCTCAGAATAGAACCCATTTACAAAACAATCCAAAGCATATCCAGTCTTCTGTGAATGCAAACAAGACGCAAGTGGATTACAACAAAGTGCAATTTATGATATTATTTTGCACCAACACTCAAAGGAGGAAGTGTTGGCGTTATAGGAAACACTGCTGTCAGAAACATCGATTTTGTTTTGTTTGGTGTGTCATGGAAGCTGTCAGCTAACTAACCATTACAAGAGGGGCCAGGCCAACAAAGTCTCTTTGAGTTGTATAGATCCTCATGGCTCCTTCAGTCTTGGCTACGTTTTTGGACGCGGATGTTAGTTCCAGCCTCCAGATGATCACCTGACTTTCAAGAGGACTGCTCAGCTCCTCCACCTCGAAATCCATCTGAAGCACCTCCAGCAGACTGCTCTCCAGCCTGAATGGGAAGCAGGATGAGTTAGACATACATGCATTCATCTAAAATTCCACAACAGCAAATGTGGTTTTCTAAACTGTGTAACAACTGTGTAAAGTTTATATAGAAACGCAAATCAGGAGAAGAACACACTGTAAAATTGACTTTACGGCAGCTTTGCTATGCTATCATTCATTATAACTTGATGTAAAGAGTGCCATATTTGTGTTTCTACAACGTGTAAGAGAATGCACAATTCCACCAGAAAGAAGCTTTCCATCAAAGTCTCTGATAATTAATCTGATTATTTCACCATTGGGGTGCGCAATTACCTCATCACACAATAAATTCCTGTAGAGATAATGATGTTACATTTCGTAAAGGTGCAGTGGTTTTTACGGCAGTGTATCCTGCACTGTGGCTCATTGCTCTCAGCACAAGACGAGTCATTGCAGTAGCTGAATGGACACATTATTTGCCAGTATGAGCAGAGCCAAACGTCCTCACAGAATAACTTAAACCACTAAAGGTAAATGAATATGATGTGCTGCCATTGCTGCTGTGACATATTGATCCATCCCTGGGATCTATGTCATCCCCTGTGCATGGATCCAGTCATTACTAAGTGGTCCTATCAGATTGCAATTTTTACATATTCAGGAAACAGTTGGTGCTGTTGAAAGTTAAGTATAAAGTAACCAGATGAAGATTTGGACTGAATTCTTGGAGATATCAAACTCAAAGTTAATAATAATGTTATGAATTTAGTCCTGTAGGAAGAAAGTGAAAAGAGTTGTGTAGCAGGATGTGATCACACTAGCGGCGACAACGCCTTATCTTTGTTTTAGGGCTTTGAATCTGGAGGCAATTCCACAAACTAAACCAAAAAAAGAGTAGAGTTGAATCTCTCTGTGCTGCTAGACCTACCCTTGAATTGCGGGTACTGTTAAATGTGAACTGAATATAAGTTGTTCCGAGGACAGTGGCTTCCTGCATACACAACAAAGTAAAAGCCTTTATAACTTATAATGGCCTTTCAGTGATGGCAGCCAGAACAGAGTGTCCTAGCCATGAATTCAATTTTCTCCTATGGTCCAAGTTAGTATGCTGGGTTTTATTTCTTGGCACTGAATTGAACTATAGAAAAGATATATTGGTGGACAAAAATGCAATAAGAATGCACATACCCGCATGGACATTATCAGAACCACTGCATCTGGGTGTACAGTACATTTTATAAATGTCTGTGCCAGGGCTGTTCAGACAAATAGTAAGTCATGTTCACTGCATGAAAAGGACCTCTGAAGGGCTGCATCCCAGCCGTGTTTCTGCATTGAAGCAACAACAATTGGATAGACTACAAATCATATTTTGTTAATCCTCTATTATGTTCCAAACTCAACAACAAAGCACACAATAGTCCTCTCTATACTGCCCTCTCACTCAGTGCACCATATATCTGCCACCATTAAGGGCAACACGAGATTAAGTGTAATTGAATAATCTTAGCATATTGATTCCAGACCTGAGATTAAAAGATAATTATTGTATTCTGGTCAAGAATCAAAACAAGATATACTTAATTTGAATGAGCACACATATATCCCCTTAAGTATGTATTAACACAGATATCTGTAGGAAATTCTATTTATGCCTCAATCATTCTTGTGAAGCTTGCCGGGGGATAATGCTTTAACTTGTTTACGACTGGCAGCCTGTCTGTGAGTAGCAGCGCTTTAATATTAAGATCCAAAGCAAGCTGCTGTGACAGTGGATTTAAGCTTTAATGTACATATACCGTAAATACTTTAAGTATTCACTAAAGCCAGGAAGACAAAAGGTCAGAGAAATCCCCACAGTGATGTGACATTGGACATGTGTTTCTGTTTGTGTCATGACATTTTAGGGGGGATTAGTGTAAATGACTAAGTGAAAGAATATGTTAAATACTGTATGTTGCGATAAAGCCGCTTTCACACCAAGTACTTTGCCGTACTTAGTGCCGGCACTTATGGCGCATTTCCACTGCAGCGGGTAGCCCCGTTTAAGCGTCCTTAATCGTCCTCAAGCGGCCAGGCCAGTTTTTGGTGGCCTTTCCATATAGCGTAGCACCGGCTAGCAGGTACTTTTTCCCTCTTTTTCCGGCCCCATAAAATCGTGGTTCTATCAGGCCAGGGCTGAACTAGTGACGTCAACA